ATCACTAATGTCACATAACTTTGCCGACATTCATGTTTTAATGTTCTTCATTATTAAACATTTGCACATAAATAAGTGATATAATATTCAGTACTTACTTTTGACAGTTCACTCTTCGGCCGCTCCCTTCTGCCTTATGTTGCGGCAAAATTATCCACACCCACCGCCGTGCTTTGGGTGTCTTGAAAAGCGCTATATAAATTCAATCCAATCGTTGTCGCGTGGCGGTGACGTAATCGCACTCAAAATGCTTCAAGCGTGTAGTCTCTTAATTGGGACACAGCCGTTGAGGAGGTAATTTAGCCATTTAAATCAGATGTGATGGATCAAGGACACATATAAAACCTGCAGGACACCGGCCCTCGAGGCCTGGAGTTGGCAACCCCTGATTTACATAATGCAGCTTTAATGTGACTCTGGTTGTGTTTTCATTATTGTGTCTTAAACATGAACATTTCTTCCTTCTGCGCTTTCTTCATCTAACATTTCACCTGCAGTCAGAGAAGAAGAATACTGAAATCATCAATCAGCTCCAGCAGGAGAAAAAAGCAGCAGAGAAACTGAAGAAGCAGCTGGAGAAGAAAAATCGTGAGGTTTGTGTTTCCATTATAAACATTCAGAATTTACTGACCCAGCTCTGTTTATCTCTGTATTGTAAACAGTTATGAAGGAAACTTTACATATTATTTTGTTTGTTTGATTAATTAAGAACTAATAATGAAATGCAAATAAATGTGTTTCTTTGGGATCATCCTTTTGTAATTTATGTCATAGCAGGCTCTTAATTCTATATAGAACCTAATTTATTAACTTTTTGAGTGAATGTGTGATTGTATTGTGCAATCCCCCACGTTTTGCCTTCCATTGTTGCAGTTTCTGTATCATTAACTACACAAGCACTTATAAATCCACCTCTATACACATTTTTCAGACCATCCCACAACACTTAATGTTGTTAACATCAGGCTACATCAACTCCCTGATATTTAAAATAAAATAGCTTTTATTTAATCTTTTTGCGTAAAGCGAATAGTATAGAATAGAATCACCACTTTATTTTCATTCAGAACATTTAGTGCACATCAAAATGAAAAGCATTTACTCATCACCAGACTTTAAATATAAATAAATCTATAAAAAGTCTAAAGGTTTAAAATATTTTAAAAAGGATAAACGTGTAAGAATATAGGAAAAGAAATATTATTAGGATTATGAAATACTTTTATTAGTAAGGAGAAGCTGTTCAGGATCTTTAAGTATATCGAACAGCAGTAACAGCAGCAGAAAAGTGTACAATCATTCTTCAGCCATGAAATGACACTGCTGTAAATATAGAGTCATGGGGGACAGAGGGGAGGGGGGAGGCAGTCAGGGTGGGTGGTTGGTGTGCTGATGGTTGGAGAATGAAACTATT